CTTTCCATTTATTCATCAACAATGCTTGCTAAGCTATTAGCAACTATGATCAGCTAAGACCAGCTAGAATTAAGTTATCACGATCCAGAACACAGTTACCATCTTAAACTGTGTTTTCAGACTCAAATGAACTGGTTCACTGCTACGGCAACACTGCTAGCTGTTGTACGTCCCGTAGAACAATAAGCGAGGGCAACATAAAACAACCACGACAACCAAAGAGCTAATGTTCTGCTTCAATTGGCTCGTGCAGAGTGTTTAATAAAAAAGACAAACTGTCTACTTAACTGTAGGCTATATGGATTTAAAATATAGGACTATTGATCACCGTAATCATGCATAACTATATCATTGTTTCCTAGAAAATAAGCACATTACAAAGAAACTTCCTCACCCCATACAGAAAGTAGAAGTGATATCCTCACATGTGATTTATGTCTAGAAGAAATTTATAGTGGCCTTTCTGACTCCCTGGAAAAGCAAGACTGTGATTTGCGCGCTTAAGCACAAACTCAAGGGACCAAATGGTGTCGGACAAGATCTCCATGTAAAAGGGGACAATAAAGCTGCCAGCAATGACTGATCTAGTTTTTGTGGGGAATCGTAAATAAGAGACTTGTTGCATAGAGAATTTCAGGCAGATTTAAGAAAAGATGAGAGATGGCATACAAAATGTATCCTTCTCTGTATATGACACATACACTTAGTGTATAATGAATGGCATCTACCAGCAGGGGCTAATGTGGCTAAGCTAACCACTTACAGTAAATGTTCCTTGCATAGGAATATGAATACTTCCCTACTATAGTTTCCACTAGCATAGTTTCCACTAGTTGCACTAGTAGGCAACATTATTGTACAATACAGTAGCCTACACACATTCGCTACATGTAGAACATACTTTTTAATGGTTGCAAAGATTTCTCATCAAATGCAGCTGAACCAATCCTAAAATTTAAACAAGTAAACAAGCATATGTCCTAAATCACCGCCTATACCCTTATATAGCACTCATTCATTTCAGTCCCACAATACACGGCAGCAAAGGCCAATTTACACCCAATAATACCCAGATGCCCTGCAAGTGGAAACTTACAGATGTACAGTGATAACTTTTTTATTGATTATTGTTTAATTAAGGTTTATACAAGCACGTTTCTGAGTTTGTTTTCATTCACTCCTATAGATTTCGGATACAACCACATGCTACTATGCTAAATCGCATTAGCATCATGGCTACCCCTGCTGAAAAATCCAGCTAAAACCAGCCAAGGCTGGTTGGCTGGTTTTGGCTGGTCTCCCAGCCTGGTTAGTTGGTTTATCAGGCTGGTTTTAGAGGGGTTTTGAACACTTTTTCAGCTGGTCAGGCTGGTCTTAGCTGGTCAAGTTGGTAGCCAGGCTGGGAGACCAGCTTAACCAGCTAAGTCAGGCTGGGAGACCAGCTTGACCAGCTAAGCCAGGCTGGGTGACCAACTAAAACCAGCTACTTCCAGCTTAAACCAGCTAAGACCAGCTAACCAGCCTAGGCTGGTTTTAGCTGGATTTTTCAACAGTGAGACTTGGAATTCTAACAGATTAATAAAAAGTTAAAAAAAATGGGATGCAGATCATTGTGTACAACCTAGAATGTTGTGTTTGCGGATTCAAACAAACATATCACATGTCCTTGTTTACAGTTATTGATCAGGAGATTCGCATGCCCGACAAAAAAGCCATTACTTGAACACATCCAGTAATACTGATATATCCTGCCCTTGTTATCGAACTGGCTGCTAAAACACACATAAATGGATGGTTTTGAAACTCTTGGGAAGGCAAACATCACCGAGCTAATAAGATTAGAGGGCAGCCAAGGCCAGCACAGGGTGTGTGCACAAAGCACCTTGCGTGTGTGAGTCGCTGACGTCCTGTTTTATGCTCGGCGTCCAGAAGAATCAATGCTCGAATGCCTACATTACTGTCAGCTGGAGTGTCTGTATCAGACTGGAACAGAAGCACATCTAAATCAGCAGATGCTCAGGGTGAGAGGCGCAATTAACGAAGGCGCATCATCAGCACTTACATCCCACTGGAGTTTTTAATACAGTCCTCATAAAGGGAGTTGAAGGTAACGGGATGAGGAATTAACTGCATATTAGCGCAGGCGGCCTTATCCCTAATGACCGCACACCGCCGTGATATCGCTAAAACGGTTCCTCAACAATCCATCCAGGCATGCCTTGTTTTATGTCTGAGAACCATTTTCGTGGTTACATAAGCTCTGCAAATGGGATCTTTTTGGCAATTGACAAGCCCAAGTGCATTTTTATTTATTTTAAAGTCTGGTTTATTTGTTTCTGGTACGTGTATCGACGCAAAAACAATGTGAAAAACTTTAACCATTTCAGATAATGGGTGCTTAAGGAATTTAAAGGGATAGTTCACCACAAAATGAAAATTCTGTCATTATTCACCCTCATGTAATTTTTTTTTTTGTCCATACAATGAAAGTGAGTGTCCAAAACTCCACTAACATTCATTCATTCTACGTTTTTCAAATTATCTTCTTTTGTGCTTCAAAAAAGATGGAACATCATACAGGTTTAGAAACATTTTTACATAAAACAAAGTGTTAGAAATTTTTGGGTGAATTTTCCCTTTGAGATCATTTTGCTATTAAATGAGTGTTCATATTAAACTTATGATTTCCCTCCAGTGGATGATAAAATTGTTTATAGTGAAGGGATAAAAAGTGAAAATTATGACAAAGAAGCATTATTAGGAGATAAAGTCATAATACTGGCAAACTTTGTCCTCATTCACTTTTTATCACATCTTGACCAAGACAAAAAGGCAATTGAAAATAAAATCTAATTGACAAGTCATTATTACAAATCATAAAGCCATTTTTATGAGATAAAAAGTAATTACTATGAAAAATATGTTGATATTATTACATAATAACACAAGAGGACAAATTATAATTATAACAAAAAAATCACTGATGACAAAGTCAAAATTCTGACAAAAAATGAGATTTTCAATTGATATTGACAATGAGATAAAAAGTTCAAATTTGAGAAAAATGTGACCAGTAAAACAATTATGACCAGTAAAACAATTACAATAGAAACAAAATATATAATTTATATGTAATTATATATAAAATATTTAGTTCTCTATCTGAGATGAGGTGGATCTCTTTTGACTTTGACCTAGCAACCACACAAAACAGCCTAGCAACCACATAGCAATGCCATAGCAGGCTCCCAAAATGCCAAAGCAACCATATATCCATTATGACTCATCAGTCCACTATCACGCAACATGACAAGATCTGCAGGATCACATACACACCGTCGTCACAGTACATATTTATACCTAAACAATCTCCTTGCAAAAAGGGTAACATGCGTTTGAATCAATGTTGGACGCTGTTAAGAGGACAGGAAGCAGTTGACCCAGTAAATCATCAGCTGAACTAACATGGCCAAGGACAGCTCAGTGCATCTCTGGATAGAGATTTACCGGGCTCAAAGTGCGCTGTGTATAATCATACAAATGCTGAGGCAGCGCTGCTCCTAACGATCTCATTCAGCTTTAAAAGTCATTAAAGTGGAATACCACAGATAGGCTGAAGAATCATTGTTGGCCCATCTTTATTGTTAAGACTGGTTGGTTTGCAGCAGCATAGGGCTTGAACTAGAAGGACAATGAAAAATAACAGGACTGTGTTTGGGTGTTTAAAATTAGCTTTGAATATGTGACATAATGTACAGTACAAATATATTTTAAAAAATTAACCAAGTGTCAACTCTTAAGCAGTAAATGCAATATCTCCAACATGAGTGAGTCGTAAGGTGCTCCAGAGGGATTCTCCCTATAAGTTCTAATATTCATGTAAAAAGAAGTTTTGCCAGGTTTGACATTGATACCAATGCCTTTGAAAGGATAATTTAGCATAAAATTAAAATTTAGTCATTTAGTCAACCCTCATATTCTTCTGCTGAACACACAAAAAATATATTTGGAAAAATGTCTCCAATTTTGTTATGGGCCCTATTGACTTCCTCATTGTTCTGCAAAAACAAGCCTTGAATGACGAGGATGAGTAAAATATGACCGAAATGCTCCCAGAGCAAAAACTAAAGGCAAACAATGGTAGACATTTATCCTCCAATGTGGAGTTGTCTGTTCAACATCAGCATTGGTATCTTCCTTTAAAGCCATTTTATGTTTGTATATGGACGGTGCTGCGGTACAAAAAGAAGACAAAGAGAGAAAAAGCTTCGAAACACTTGAAATATAGCGCACAAGTGTCATTTTTTTGTAAAAGAGCAGCGTGAACATTCTTTAAAATTTCTCTTTTTGTTTTCCACGGATGACTGAATATAGTACTGGGCGAGTAAAAGATGGCAGAAATTGCACTTTTGGGTGAACTATCCCTTTAAATAATATAGCCAAAATTTGGCATTAACCCTATAAAACATTATACACAAATGCAGCAATTGAGAGAAAACCTTTATTAAAATTGAAGTCAAATGCCCTCTATCACATCAAATACTGAAAAAAAGTCAAAGAAAAGAGACAGTTTGACACTAACACCTCAAGTTAGGACAGAAGGGATAGAGGGATTTGCAGGCGAAACAAATACATGGAGAGCGAATGTCAGAGAAGAAGACAATAGGAGAATATAAGATGACAGAGCCCTTCGTTCAACTGGAGAACATTTAGATATGATTGTCGTCATGCTCCAGTACTATAAGCAATTAGATTGTGAAATGGCTAAGCTGTAGAAACATTAGGGAATGGGAAAAGGTGGGGAACGTAATCTAATTCATGCATTTAATGGAGAAAGATTGCATAGCTGTAGAAAATACTGTCTCAGTGGTGCTGACGCCTGTAATGTGCTTTTAGCCCTCTCTCTCTCTCTCTCTCTCTCTCTCTCTCTCTCTCTCTCTCTCTCTCTCTCTCTCTCTCTCTCTCTCACTCTCTTGTCCAGTTTGTTTTTTCCTTCCTGAAAACTGTCCCATGATTTATTTGATCCCGCATAAGAGTCTTTAGAAACAGAAGAGTGAGTCAAAATGTTGTTCAATGTGCCACGGACATAGGTAGAAGCCCATAAAAGCGGTTTACGCCCGCATTAGTTTTACTCCAGGAGCAGGTGTGTGGGTCAAACCCACAAAAGGCCTCACCTTTCCATTTTTGTCTCTCTGAAAACCCAAGGAATTTCTGATCCAATGTTTTCTGAAAAAACAGCCATGCATTTGTCAGTAATCCCATCTAGTGTGCTTCCGGTGCAAAAAACCAAAGGAAAACGGTTGACATTTATCCTTCGATGTGGACTTGTCTGTTCAAGGAACGTCAGCATTGGTATCTTCCGTTGAAGCCATTTTAGATTCGTATATGGAAGGTGCTGAGGTACAGAAAGACAACAAAGAGACAAATAGCATATTAGATTAGAGGTAAAAGATCCAGTTTCATGCCCCTAAAGCATCATTTATCTCCAAAAGAGTGATGAGGCCTGGATATATATTTTAGGTTTTACAGCCTTAAACATTCGAGGCAATTTTGCCGTCTCACTGGTAACTGATGACAATTGAGCATGAAGTTCTTAGAAAGTATTCAAGCAGATGGCTTTTGAAAATGAAATGTTCAAATTAATTTGCAGATCGAATGGCAGAAAGAGTTCCAAACCTTTGTCATAGATCTTTAACAATAGACATTAACCACCTGTGCTTACTTCATTTGGGGGAAGTGCTGTGTCATTCTCTTAAATGGACAATTTTACCTCATGTCACCCTTTAATGTCATTCGAAAGAACGTTTAAAACCGTGAAGGAAGAATTCACAAAGTTTCAATTGTGCCTATTGGTTTGTACATGCTGCATTTATTGTTTTTGCCCCCGATTCACTAAAGAAATGTGCAGGATCAGGTACCCGTTCAACTTATTTATTTATTAATTACTTTTATTTATTGATTAATATATTATTGGAAAAAGAATATACTACCATACAAAAGTCTGGGGTCAGTAAGTTTATGCATTTGAAAAAAAGTTTCTTAAGTTCAACAAATTAAGGCTGCATATATTTAGCAAAATCAGTAATATTGTGAAATATTATTACAATAAATAAAAACTATTCTATTTTCATTTAATTATGTATTATTAATGATTAAACTCCACATCATTCAAAGTCACAAGATCCTTCAGAAATCATTCTAATATGAGGAATTTGTGCTCAAGAAACATTTATACATAAAATATAAATTGTTGTGCTTCTGTTCTTTGATGAGTCTAAGTCTTTACTTTCACTTTTTTGAATAAGAAACTAAATGACCCAGAACTTTTGAATGGTAGTGTATATAAAGTATATACAGAGTTTACAGCATTTAGCACCTTGATTAATTGAATTGTGAATGGTAAGTGATCCATTAGTGATCACTAACCATCACTAATGGATCACTAACCATTCACAGTGATCTTTTGCAAAAGGCATAAGTGTTTAATGAATTGGAGTGATTATGCATCAGGCATAAGAAGATATTTATAAAGACAGTTCACTTCGTCTATACAGACAGGAGCCATCTTAGAAAATAGTCTCGATAAGTCGATCCCCAAACGCCGTTCATTCAGTTTAGAATTTCGCTGTTCGTGGTTTGACTTATCGAGACTGTTTCCAAGATGGCTTCTGTCTGTATACGCGAAGTGAACTGTCTTTATAAAGTATCATCTTATTAAACGTTCTCAAAATTCTCAATGCTTCGTTTTGCATGTATGGACCCTCATTATGTTACTGTGTTAGTGTGGGACTATTTTGAGCCTTGTTAGTGGTATAAACTAGCGATTTATTTTTACTTAGTTAATCCCCCCATTCCTAGCGTTATAAGCTAAACAGTTTTTAGAGATAAAACTCTTTACATTCGATTATCATGAAAACAAATCTCAGAGAACGATTGACTAGGTACCGATGTTTTATTAGACAAAGGTTCATTTTGTGCCGGAGTTCTCCTTTAAGTAACAAAAACGTAAAGTCAGCAGAATGCTAAAGCATTAACTTTCTATGAGTGTTCAAGAAATTTATTCCCTCGTTGAATGACAGCTGCTGAAAGCAATTCTACATTTTTTGGCCTCCAGGTCTCCAAATGATGGTACAAAACGTTCCTGTCTCTCTCAATCATGTGGTCTCTGAGGCACAGCTGTGCAGTCCAAAAAGGCCTATAAAAGCCAAGCAGAGGAACTCTTGTCTGATAAAGCATATTTGAGCGTGCGGCTAAATTATAGCAGTGTGCCTCCAGAGCAGAGTGCTAACCATGACGTTAGCAACTATCATAACTGCCTTTAGACTCATAAGGACAAAGTATGTCCGATGTGAGTACATTAACTCCCAATATATATATATATATATATATATATATAAAATGAGAATATTGCCCGCATTCTCCACCATCAATACAATACTATATATATATAGTTATATATATATATATATATATATAAAATGATAATATTGCCCGCATTCTCCACCATCAATACAATACAATACAACAGCAACATCAAACTCTGGTTAGCATACATCTGAGGAAACAGGTCATATTACCAATATTCTTACCTTAAAAAGTCAGGAGCCCTCGAGATCATGTTCTCAAAGTCAGCAAAGGAGAGCTTGCTGTCTCCATCCAGGTCGGCCTCCTCAATGGCCTTCTCACACACCAGAACAACCTCCTCCGGTGTTAACTCCTCCTTTGTTAACCTGTTTAGAGTCTGTTCTAAGTCCTCCTTGCAGATGTAATTATCCACATTGAAGTCTAAGAACAAAACATGATGATGAGAGTTAACTACAAATGAGCTCATGTTATAAAGTTGCCACATTGTTTATGAATGATGCCATATAAATGTTTATTACAACCTCTAAAACTGTGCATTGTTACAGTCACATTGTAAATAATTTTACATTTTTTGTTCTAGTGGACTGTACATAAGGTAATGAAAAATGACATTTACCATATATTTTAAAAGCATAAATGGCTTTCAGTTCTCTCGGAGCCATTTCGCTGAGAACCGAAAACATGTCCACAAAGTCGTTGAAGCTGAGGTTCCCCTGGCCATCTTCGGAGAACGATTCCACAATCCGATTCCTGAATGGATTCTCCTAGAAAACAGAAATTGAAAGTTTTCTTCTTTCCCGATTCCCAGTGTTCAGTTCCTGTGGTTTGTTCCATAGTTACTCTTGTTAGTCACCATAACAACTGATTACCCACACCTGTGCCTTGTTATCCTCTTGTTAGCCTGTGTATATACCCTGTGTTTCAATCTTTGTTTGTCAGTCATTCTCTTTACATATGTTGTAATGCTGTTATGTTTCCTTGTGTTCCCTTATCATCTTGTTTCAATAATTACTCTTGTCTCCTGGTTTGGATTACTTTTATGTTATGTGTTCATTGAATAAAGACCGCTTGCTAAAGATCCTCATCTCTCCACAGCTTTGCTCCATCAGCGAAATCTACTAGGTTAATTAGGATACACTTTTAAAAAAAAGGACTAGAGAGGCTGCATATCAGTGTAATTTTAAGAATTATTTATACATTATTATAAATATTGTAAACTGGCTTTTTTGTTTTCTTTTAGGTTTTAGTAATTTTGGTGAGTGCTTTTGCAATTTTTATTAATTTATTTTTCTATTTAACTTCCATTTCCTGTATTTTCACCCCAGTTTTGGTCATTTTAGTATTGTTTAGTATAGTTTAATAAGTTTAGATTTAAACTTATTTCAGTTGCAACATTACTAATCTTTTTTGTCTGATATTTATATATTTTATTTAATTTCAGCTTTATTTCAATTACTGAAAACAATTGTAATAGTATTATAATTAGTTAACAATAACAACTCTCCTTCTCTCTTCATATAGATCTACATATTCTTATAGAAACCTTTAATTTTTATTGTATAGAACTAGAATTTTTAAGTAAAACTTTACAAAAAAGGTAATGGTATCACTATGTAAATACAATGAAAACCATACAATGCCATATTATTCTTTAATATGTTTTACAAACTATCAATTAACAGATTTCCCCTTAAAATCAGTGGAAGAAAAGTGTAAAACATCTACAGATTGCTTCTGGGCCTACAAATCTATGGCTGTACATAAGCATGTGTGCAGCAGTGGGGGTTTTGCTGAGTGAGTCATGTACAAAATGTAGAATGGCTGACTCCCCAAACTAGTGCTCATATATTTCTTACTGGCTATTGGCCTAAAGGAATTTTTATGCCCTGCTACTAGCTGACTCAACAGCTCTGGGAACAGTAGCATGAACACAGCAGAGCAGGATCAACCTAAACATTTCACCTCTGTTTATAACACTCAAAATCCTGTGAATGGTTATAACTAGACTTTAACATTTTTGGGACGTGTCGTGAGTGGCAGTTTGCACTTTCTTTCATGAGGTCAAGGTGTTCAATAAGACAAAATACTCTTCAACCACAATCAATAGAATGCAAGTTTGATCTGAATGAGAATTTGATTAGATTGGAATGTGTGGAGTAAAGGCCCGTACACACCGGGACGAATATCAGCGTGCGTTATTCGCCAGCGTTTTTCAACGCGTTTTTTTGTGTTCACACCCAAGCGATTTTCGCTGACGATGAGCCGAGTGAACATGCAAATTCATTCCCTGACATTAAATGGCGCCCATTTGCTCTGCAATACCACTCCATAACGGTTCTCTTTTATCAAGATTTTTGTAGTCGCTGTCATGTTTGTCATATAGTTCTTTATGTTCTAACACCAACGAGAACAGCAGCTCTACATTCATCTCGCCTTGCATCATTATCCTCGTCTTATTTCTTCCTGGCAGTGTAGACAGCGTCGCTACTCGGCGTATGTCTTCTTCTCAGTTCCGTATGTGTGCTCGGCAAGACCGTTTTGTGTTTGAGCGCCCCCAAGTTGTGTTTTACTGTAACTTCAGAAGCTCCAGACACGTGAGCAAAAGCGCCATCTCATTGGTCGGATAGTTTTTGACGCGGCGCGTCAAACTAATATATAGCGAAACCGAGGCGTTTTAAAAAAAATGACACTTTTACGAGTTGGTGTGCACACTCACATTGGCGCCCTTTGTTTAGTCACGAGGCGTTAAACGTCGGAGACTAAATATTTACTAGATGTTTTAGGGATGCACAATATATTGGCCACCATATCGGTATCTGCCGATATGCATAATCTTTATCGGCCCAATAAGAAAATTTGGCCAATATATTACAGACGAAAAATAATGGATTATTTCCATCCGCTGAAACACTTCAGATGACCACTGTTCGCCATGATGGTTTTTGTAATCAGGCTCTCAAAAATTTAATAAAAATGTGGATTTAGATTTATCAGCCAATACATCGTTTAACGGTTTTTGGCCAAAATTTTTATATTGGGGCATCCCTAAAATATTTGCTAAAAAATCTCTTCTGACATACATGTCAGTTTTATCTTTTACATACAGTATGTTGTAATGTTATGCTCAAGGTAACTTCAGTGACATTAATCGCACAAGTTTTCTGAACGTGCCATTTTGTTTGAAATAGATATATGTAAATAAATATGGAATCAGATTGCAAGGTTTAGAGTTCATATAAACAGATTTGCTTCATGGGCAACAGCATAGAGAACATCCATCCATGTGTAAATGTCAAAACCATAGGCATTTGTATTGGCAGAAGTTAGGTAAAAAGCCCTCTAAGTGTGTTGAATCTTGCCACTTTTGCTTGAAAAAGCGAATTATCAGACTGAATGGGGATTGGGATTTATGTTTATAAAGGTTGAGAGGATCTCTGGAAACTGGAAGCTGTCGTAGTCCCATCAATCCCAGCTTGAATGGTCTCCATCAGTATTGTCCACCTCCTAGGGTTGGGTTTATCGCTCCTTCGTCCACCTGACAGCTTTAAAGGGCAGTAAAATTATGTTCCAACATGGGGGACATAATGGGGCTTATTCTAGAGCTATAACATCTGACAAATTTTGACTGACTGAGGGCTGGGTCAAGGTACGATAGAATCAGCGAAGTGACTACTATAGTAATGAATTTCTTGACTGAATTTCTAGATTTTTTAAGTGATTTTTAAACATTTTTTAACATTTTATCGAACGTTTATATAAATGACAAAATATTTAGACAAAATATTTCAACTCTAATCTATAAGTTTGTAAGTGTGTTTTTGTTGACTGTAATATGAAATAGTGAGAATTGGGAGCTCATACTCAAGGAAAAAACAACAGAATTTTATTTTGCTGATATTTATTATAGACAAAAAAGTAATATGGAATTCTGATTGTTTGTAAAGCAAATCAATCAATTAATCAATTTCAAACAGTTCATATCAATCTTTATAACAGTTTAACACACATGCAAGTATCAGTTGTCAATGGTTAGTTTTATCAAAGCTCTGTAGTTTTATTTGTGGAAGGAAAACCTATTAATTTCAATAAATTGATGATAAACATTCCCCAAAAGCCTGGTATCAAATCTGATTCTCACATTTTAAGATGATTTTAAAATAAATAAATAAATAAATAAATAAACAAATGATGTATAGATAAATCAAGCAAGCCCAAGTTGCTTCCGTCCAGTAAATGTTCATAATATTACCAACAATATAAAGTTATTCAGTTGCTTAATAAAAAATCTGAAAATATTTTGCCGCAAAAAGACACATAAATATATCATGACCTGTAGGGGGATGTTTTTACAATTGTACTGAAAAAAAAAGTATAAACGTCTGCAGAATGCATGTAGAAGATAGTTTTGATCAAGTTAATAATTAGAGGCCTTACAACATTGATTATCATATGATACAGCTGGCTTTACAAGGTTAAAAAAAGTACAGGATAAACTTTGATTTTATCCACCAGCCCTTGCCTTTTTTAAAGATCTGAAAGGGTTTTACAATAACAGGTCCTAATAAAGCACTTCCTCTATAAAGTAACATTGTTATGACTTTAATACTAGTATAAAGCTAATGCTCTTTTTGGCTAATATAATAAACAATCCCTTAAATCTTTAGTCAGATTAAACGTATGTGTCTTTACAACCATGGGAAATCTTAAACGCTATAACATAATTTGCTGAAACGGCACCATCTCATGGAGTGTTAACTTTCACAAGCACAGTGGTGTAATATCCCTCGCTCTCACCGCTTGTGCCGTCATTGCCAGCATTGTCATTAAAAACCAATTTTGCCCAATAAAAACAAGTGTCTATTATATTTGATATAAACTAAAAGTGCAGAGAAGGTCATTGCACAAGTATCCTGTTGCCTAAACAAGGGTCTGGGTATATTTCTGCACCCCTTATGCTGTTGTATGCGAACTGGAAGTTAATTTCTATGTAGTTAACACAGACAAGTGATACAACTAGTAAAACATTCCAGTGCAGTTATACGAAATGAACTCTCTGAATGCAGCTGGACCAAGTCGATGTGATGCTGCATCACAAAAGTAGTAACTGGCAAAGTGGTGAACTGTTAGAATTACCTTCAGTTCCGGCATGTTGACTATGAGAGCTAAAGGGATTTTAACGTCAGGGTCATTGGTGTAGTCCATTGGAACCAAATGTGGAGCCAGCTCGTGGTATCTTCCATGCAAGCTGCAATGCAGAAAATGTGGAAACTGGTTACTGGAGTCCATTATTGTTGCTCTGGCCTTTTACCTCATCCTTTGAATCAGACCTCATTAGTTTTTTTCACAACTATACTGTAAAATGAGAATGAACAAAATGGCCTATTTCAAATGTACAAGAGAAGGCCACAAATTTACTGATTTACTGAGAAAGGAGAAAAAAGACTATATATATACTGTATATATATATATATATATATGTGTGTGCGTGTGTGTGTGTAAAATTAAAATATCAGGTTAAAGTCAGGGTGAAACAAGTTGAAATAGTCTTTCCTTTCCTATTCTGACAAATAATATTCGAAGTGAAACAGCTTCTTGTTTTAATCTCGTTGATCAAACAAAAAGAAAATGAAAAGAAAAGTAAAAGAAAAACAAAGAGCAACACAGAAAAATGTTTATATTTTTGTTTGGCGATGACAAAACAAAACAATACAAAAAAAAGTGTATTATTATTTTTATTTGCTTTTATACTGCAGCAATAGACATTTATTCTCCAACAGCGGTGGTTTATATTTAAAATAAATGACCACAATGCATAAAACTAAATGCATTTCACAAATACTGTAAAACTCAATTGTTAATCACACTAACCCATCATAGTTATGCACTCAATGTAAGAAGAATTAGCAGTGCTCTTGAATAAGCAGGCATATTTGTCAAGGCTGTTTTGTCTGTTTGTTCCTGGCAGAAAGATCTGGAGACTTGCCAACCAACGGTGAACTGATGACTCATTCTGAGCATGGCAACAAGACACAGGGAAGCGAACACTGTAATAGGCCTTTGCAGCAGTAAAAGCTTACGTGTGTTAAATAAACAATTAACATTCTGCACCAATAGGCCTGTATATGTCACAAAAACAAAACAATTTGTTTATCATCGTATTTGTTTGTTGATTACTGAGCAAAACAAAAAGCAAAAAAAAAACGAAAAAAAAAACCCGAAGTAGAATAAAATAAATAAGCAAACGCAAGCATGAATAAAGTAAAAAAATTAGGATATTAGGATAAATAAAAAAATTGTTTTGTGACTCACCAATATGAATAACACTTTAGATTAGGTGTTTCCCAACACCAATAAATAACAGGAAATGTTATTATATAATATTATACTTATTATGAAACACTACGTTGTAGTAGTAAACTCCAATGAAGTGATTAAACATGTGATTAGTAATTGCTCCAGCTTGTAGAAGTCAATAATAAACGCATGCATTACAATAACTGCTCTGCGGCACATTATATTTATATTATGACATATGATAATATGTTATCAGACAAAAGCTTTGCTACTAGCAGAGGGTGTGGAAATATTTCTAGTATTGATGATATTACAGACTGTATCATGTCCCAGCCGTAGTTACAAGAACAGAGACAAATCTAATCTCATGTTCCTCCACAGGCATCCAATCAGGATGCAAGGAAATACAAGCCAATTCATAACGATTGCCGATAACCCTACGCTAACCTTGCATAACAGTGTGGCGGATTGTGCCGGTCTGTGCGGAGAACAGGAGAAACTGAGTGTTTTATGAAGGTGATAAAGTACAAGACTCTATTAGGTTTGCCAGTGATTGTCCATTTTGTTTCTCGTGCTCCACTGGCCCTGTTATCAAAACCAATCTCAGTGTCATTGCAGAGGCACAGTCCATCCACATAAATCAAGATTACACATCTTATGTAAGAACTGGAACTACTTATGAAACACCGGATCACAGCTTGAGAAATGAAAAAAAAGAGCGCTTATGCAAATTAGGGTGGGTTTGCAAGGTGTTTTGAAAACACAAAACACACTCAGAGCACTTTGGCAACCACATAGCAACACTCTAATACACTCAGAACACCTTGGCAAACCCATAGCAACACTCTAACACACTCAGAAAGAACACCTTGGCAACCCCAGCAACACTCTAACACACTCAGAACACCTTGGCAACCCCAGCAACACTCTAACACACTCAGAACACCTTGGCAACCCCATAGCAACACTCTAACACACTCAGAACACCTTGGCAACCCCATAGCAACACTAACACACTCAGAAAGAACACCTTGGCAACCCCAGCAACATTTTAACACACTCAGCACATCTTGGCAACCACATAGCAACACTCTAACACACTCAAAACACCCTGGCAACCCCAGCAACACTCTAACACACTCAGCACATCTTGGCAACCAAATAGCAACACTCTAACACACTTAAAACCCCTTGGCAACCCCAGCAACACTCTAACACACTCAGCACATCTTGGAAACCACATAGCAACACTCTAACACACTCAGAACACCTTGGCAACCCCATAGCAACACTAACACACTCAGAAAGAACACCTTGGCAACCCCAGCAACACTCTAACACACTCAGCACATCTTGGCAACTCCATAGCAACGCTCTAACACACTCAGAAAGAACACCTTGGCAACCCCAGCAACACTCTAACACACTCAGAACATCTTGGCAACCAAATAGCAACACTTTAACACACTCAGAACACCTTGGCAACCGCAGCAACACTCTAACACACTCAGCACATCTTGGCAACCATATAGCAACACTCGAACACATTCAGAACACCTTGGTAACCCCATAGCAACAGTAACACACTCATAACATCTTGGCAAATGCCTAACAACATTTTAACACACTCAGAACACATTGGCAACTGCATAGCAAAACTCTAAAGTACTTAGAACACATTGTTAACTGCATGGCAATGCCCCAGCAACCACTCACAACACCCTAGCTGTCGCACAAGCAAGCACTATACAAATTAACACCAAAAATCTGATTCATAAGGTATGCATTGTCAGAGAGACAAACATGAGACCGCATCAATATTTTATTTGACTTTAGCAGCAGTAGCTCTAGCATGGTATTATTATCCAGAGCTCCAGGTATTAAACAACATCAAGCTAATTTTTTATGTGGAATATGTTGCCGTTTATTCAAGGCACCCTGGTGCATTACGGCACCCAGCGAATGGGTAATGAAAGCAGAGTGTTACAAAGCACTCTGGAGACATGAGATAAAAGCCAGTAATGGTTCATTGCTGAAGAATAAGCTGAGCCTATAATGGCCATTAGAGAGTAATGCATTAAACATCTCATTAACCCCTTTCATGGACGCAGGCTCAATGTTACACTTTAGCCCACTTAATAAACACATCGTTTTTTTAACCCACCACATAAAACACACACATGAGAAGTCTTTACAAATACGCCACATTTTTTTTAATCGAGAAATTTCATTGTGGTTTCTCTGATTGCAGTTTAGAAAGGCAACAACTTGTGAACAACTCAACTATGTGTGAAAGTGATAAAGACACTTGATATATTGTTATGACAGGAATATGTTTCTTTGCAAAGGGAACCTACACACCATGGTGAGGCTTTTTCACGGTCACAGGAAAGTCCATGAGCCATCATGAGTCACCAGAGGACTGTAGGATGGGTTTCATTATGATAACTGAGGCCTTTCATTACGGTCTCTCTTATTAAATGGTATAACAACCGCAAACACACAGTTAATCCCAACCAGTACAGATCAACATGAAGATCTTCACCAGCTGCTCATCTCAGCAAAATGCCTTTGGAGAAGGAATTCTGGATGGTATTTAACAAATAACTTTCCATTAATATAGTACCATTAGTCTGAAACTCTTAAATTGATACTTTTTTCACATTTCTTATGCTAATGATCTCACAAATGATGGGGTTAACTTTCAGAAAATGTTGATCATCAGTCTAAAGAGGTCAAATGCTGTTTTTGAATGTTTTGTAACCTTGTTTTCTAAAAGTATGTCTAAATGAAGAGTTCAGATGCAAAAGCCTCTAAGTGCCATTTGAAATTTTCTTCTTTAATGATGATTTTTATCAAGCTTGTATATTTAAGTTCAGTGATTTCACTTAAATGGCAATGATAATTACCTATTAATTGTTATTTAAGTGAAATTACTAAACTTAAATATACAAGTTTGATAAAAATCATCATTAAAGAAGAAAATTTCAAATGGCATTTAGAGGCTTTTGCATCTGAACTCTTCAAATACAACTTAAAACCATGACTGTATTATTTTTTAGCAGTAAGCATTATATAAACTATTAGATACTAATAAAAACTTTATTTTAAACTAAGATGCCACGCAGTACAATGTTACACGCAACATTTTGATAAAGTTTTTGGTAAATAATAAATAATATTAGTGACTAGAAATATTAGACATAGTTAATTCAATCAAAAACAGGCTGTCAAGATTATGACAACATTGTACGATTTTCAATTATGAATGCTTATAGTCTGTAAATGTAAATATAAAAAATGTAGACCAACCACAACAGACTGGGCCACCGGACCAATCAGAGCAGAGTAGACCAATCACAATAGACTGGACCGTCTGATCAATCAGAGCAGAATAGACCAATCACAACAGCATGGACCATCTGACCAATCAGAGCAGAGTAGACCAATCACAACAGACTGGGCCATCTGACCAATCAGAGCAGAGTAGACCAATCACAACAGACTGGGCCATATGACCAATCAGAGCAGAGTAGACCAATCACAACAGACTGGGCCATCTGACCAATCAGAGCAGAGTAGACCAATCACAACAGACTGGGCCATCTGACCAATCAGAGCAATGTGCACATTTTTAAAGACCGCATTATAGAAGAACATCCACATAAATGTCTAACAGAAACGTAATAAAATCTAATTTGACTGTCACTACGTCCCCAACCAGGGACTCGGACGGACATGGCCAAGAAAACAGCAGTAAATCATGTGTACATGATGCAGCGCAGCATCCTGAATCATGTCATATTATCCATTCAAGCTTTACACACCAGGGCAAACATCAACCAACCTATCAATCACACATAATGGCCAGAAAAGGACATTGGATTGAACATAATACACTCTCAGTTGAAGTGAGTGCGATGTATTTTGCGTAACCTGATTGTTTGGTGAAAGATGGCGATATTGGAATAGAAGGTCGAATGCATTGGGTAATGAAAGCTTTGAACATCTAGACAAACTACTAGTACATTGTGGCTGGGACAAGTGGCATTGAGTTGCTGATGATTAAAGATCAATCATATTTCCCATAATCAATATGTCATGGCAAGTAATTTACATAAAAACACTTATTCTTTCGTACCAAGTCCATAAAATCGAAAAGCTGAGTCACTGAGAGAACAACAAAGTAAAGTAGACAGGTACCTACTGCATTTCCTACACAGAAACTAACATGGAAATGTTCCCCATGAGTCAGACTAGGGGAAGTACACTAGCTACAGCTCAGCCAATCAGAGTCTGTTTGTTGGGCTTCTGTATTACCGTAATTGGGTCATTTGACTGTAAACTGACACTGTGCCTCTTTCTCCTGTATCTGCTTTTAATTTCTTAAAGTAGACACTTGATCTTCAAACGACAGCGATTAACAGCATATCCTGAAACCCGAGCGCAATATGTCAATCCTATTAGACCAGAAAGCATGCAATTTGTTTTATTTATACCTAATGCACAGAGGGAATGGACAGCCAGGTCGAATAACAACATAAGGCTTTATTTCTTTATGTTATCTCGAATAGGAATATACAAAGGAATGAACCAGACCTGATGTGACACTTTGCAAGTCTGTGGCTAATCAAGAGATTGGGTTCCAGGTCTTTCGTAAGGGTTGAAAAGCTATCCTACGCCTTGAGAGAAACACAGGTAACAGCGTTTACCCAAAAAGTCTCAGTTTCAACCATTGGAAAACCATTCTAGAAGCATCTTACGAACACAACGTTTGTTCCAATTTTTCATTCTCAAAACAATAAGAAAGAGTTATTAGTGTTTATGGGCATTTCAACACACTTTCATGACAATTCATAGCTATTTTACTGGTGATTTTTGGGATTTTGTATGGATTTGTACAATCTCATTCATACTTTTTCATACAGTTTAGGTGTGGGTTTGGGTATTTATACATGTTCTAGTACATGAACATTTTCCTACAATTGGATAGACATTGTAGCAATCAATATAACTCTTTCACATTTGAACTTAATATGGCTTATACTATTTTTATTCATAAAACTAACAGAACCTACCAGCTATGTAGAGAAAATTCTCATTTTGGAGGGCAGCCACATGGTCTAATTGAGGCTGACAGAGAAATTGAGTGATGAACTCTAGTTTTGGCTTGGAGCTCATGCTGATTAAAACCAACAGACCTTTCTGATTTGTACAGCTACACCGAACACTGCTCCATTGGGCCAAAAGTACAGCGTTATATATGTATATACCAATGGCTTACAACCGGGGCAATGGCGTCATATTTGTGGCTAAAGACAATTACACGCTTTGCTGCTTGCTGCATGCCCAGTCAGGGAGAGATTCTGATAGAGCCACAAAAAAACCAAGAAAGAAATCACATTCTTGCAGACAGAGTGAGACTATAAATCTCAATTGACTGGCATGTAATCTCACTCTCTGTTTACCAGGACAAATGTTTCTAGCTTAAGAACATGCTTCCAATTCAAAGAATGCTTTCCAAAAACAATTCCTTTGAAGAAAAAAGTTGGCTATATACCTACATTTTACCCAAGTACTGAAAATTTGTGATAACAAAATCAATCTAATTAAAAGATTTACTACAGAGGACCATATTGTTAGCTTAGCTACATGCTAATGTCAAACAGCTGAAATCAATTGTAAGATGTATGTTGTCCAGAGTGGCATGGCTAGGTTTTTGTGGCCATCTGACTTAAGACACATTGACAAAAAATATAGCTAGCTATATGATAGATATTTTATTCAATACTGAAAAGTATCACTAGAAAGTACAATCTCCTTAAAAATTTACTATTTTAATGTATAGGTAACTCTGCGTTAGTTTAGACTATGTCCAAACGCCTAGGTTGAGAAAAAAAGTTTTTTTTAATGCTTGTTAGAGTATTACATTGTTAGCTTAGCTACATGCTAATGTCAAACAGTTTAAATAAACCGTGAGACAAATCTTGTCCGCAGTGAGGTGGCTTGATTTTCTGGTCCTCACTAAGGACATGACTAAAAGTATAGTGACAAAAAAGTTCAATCTGGTTAAAAATTGATTATTTACTCAATACTTGATAGTACTGTTAGAGTATGGACGTGCTAATAACAAATTCATTTTAAATAATCTCACATGCTTCATGGGAATTTTAGGGACGTACAAAATTGCTACCGAGTTGAGAAAAAATTAAATTAAACACTGAAAATACAGCGACATCAATCATGGGACCAATCTTTTGTGCACTTCATGTGACTAGCGCTATACTGAAAAATAGCGTTAAAAAAGACTATCAGATTAAAATTTGACTATATTACTCAATATTTGTTGGCAACACGTAGCTTATCAAATCAGTAATTTATGTGGTTCTGTCCAAGGAAGCTGTTTAGGTAGACAGCAGAAAGGAAGTGAGCTCACTTTAGATTAAAGTTCAGGGCTCAGTGGCTCTAAAATGTGCATAAATAGCAGCTCACATAATGGGCAGTTCCCATAAACAGAGCCTTTATAATGGTCAGGTTCTCTTTATTAGATCTCAGGTCTCATCTGAGCAACCGTATGAATTTCAGTCAAACAAACGGCACACAGCCTGTGAATGGAATACTAATGAAGCCAGCGGATTGTTAAATGCAGACTGGTCTGTATGAATGAGCATGGATGAATATCACTGGAGCTGAACTGCTGACAGGGGAAATATCCATTGAATGAATGGGGTGAGAGTGATATATAGATCTTACACATGGTTAATAAGAGCAAGTGGAATGCAGTGCAATTGAACGAGCTGGTAAAACACAATAGCTGCAAAAGATAGTTTACTTAAAATTTCTGTTTGTATTAATCATGATTCAGATTCATATTGTACCCCTGCTATATTCCACAGAATTATATTGAATTGTAATCCAAAATAAGCACAGGATATGCCAAAAAAGAAGCCTATACTCACCGAAGAATCTCTTTGCGGGTGAAGAAGGTGCAGTCCTAAGGTGAAAAAATAAAGATAATAAATTCTCTGAAAACACATAATGTATAACTGCATATCACAATACAAAAAAAGAATAGCAACAACATCTGGCTTAAACCCCAAGCCTATTATTATCGCTTTGCTAAATTTCGCAAGACTTAGCTCCAGAATTAGGCCACACCCTCTCACACCAAAACCCCGCCCTCCTTAAACATCAGCCAGTAAACAAGAGCATGCAGAATGATTCCAATGCAGAGAGAATTTCTGATTGGCTGATGTTAATCTATTTTAGTGATAGGTACATTTTTACATTTTTATGTTTCTGAAAGTCTCTTTCACTTCATTTATTTGTTCGAAAATACAGTGAAACAGTAATATTGTAAAAAAAATTACAATTTAAAATAACCGTTTTCTTTTGTATGTAATTTATTCCTGTGACGCGAAGCTGAATTTCCAGCATCATTACTCAGTCTTCAGCGTCCTTCAATTTTCCTTCAGAAAACATTTTAATATGCTGCTTTGCTTCTCAATAAACATTCCATATTAACAAAATATTGAAAATATCTGTGCCGCTTAATAATTTAGTAGAAAACGTGACACATTTCAGGACTCGTTGATGAATAGAAAGATCAAAAGCAGCATTTATTTGAGATTTTTTTGTAATAAATGTCTTTACTGCCAATTTAATGCATTCTTGCTGAATAAAAGTATTCATTAAAAAAAATTAAATGTTAATGACCCCAAACTAGTGTGAGTGACTTATCCTGTTTTAAATGATAAAGATAAAGGGAAAGCACAGAAAATAAAGTGTCGATGAGTCGAAGCACGTGAACCGTGAATCTGACACGTTAAGCAACAGTTTTGCATTCACACGTGGATCAACACCTGAGCTCCTTGTTGGCTTTTTCAACACCTTTTGTATTAGCACACAAAGCCTCTTAGGTTTCACTGTGTATGATAAGTGTTACCCGTCAAAAAGAAACATACATATGAAATGAGGCCTGGCAATGTGATCGCAGGGAATGGCGGTATACACGATTTGCCTAAAAACCAATTGTGAGACTGTTCCCAGGTCTGTGTATCCTTTTTCTCCCCTCACTGTACTCATTGTAGCCATGCTGACCTGAGCCGACAGATTTATTAGCTAATGATTAAGCTCTCCTTTATGATGTTTACCCATACACCCAGCCAGCGTTATGCTAAAAAAAATATCCAAATCAACAGAGCAGCTTGGAGGACCGCTTCATGATTTACGCGTATAAGCCTTTGAGTACTGTTAATTGCTCGTTAATTTGAAATATTGAGGCTTGAATCTGTGAGATGTGAGGTAAGGCCGCAGCTGCGAGTTATTAGCGAAGAGGATAGACGACCCGGTGTAAAATTATTACCATAGACGTACAGTAGCCCACATATCTAACAAAGAAATGGCTTCTTCATAACTTCTTAAAAGGGGCCGTATAATGGTACATGCACTTTTTCAAGTTGATTGTACTGAAATGCGTGTTGGCAGTGCCTATACACAACCATCATATAATGATAAAAATCCATTCAGTGTTTTTGTTTTAATCTCCTTTAAATCGAGCCGTTCGACCGTGTGACGTCACATGGTGCGTGGTGCCCCTCCCACAAGTTTTGATTGACAGCATAGTTTCAACATAGACCCGCCCTGAGCGAGCTGTCATCATAGTCCGTCATTGTTGATACACTGGATGGCATCGAAGTGATTGTGGTGTTTTGTTCTTGGGTGTAATAACAAACACAGTCATTTTGATGTTCCTAAATCCGAACTGCTGAATTTTGTTTTCGAAAGGAATATTTACCACGAGCAACGTCAATGCTTTCCTGTTTGCGCGATTCGCAGATCTTTTCTCACCAGACTGCTTTATAAACGAGGATCAGTATAAAGCTGCTCCTGAAAAAAAGAATCGGTACCAATTATTTAATTATGTCCCTGCTGCACCTCCAGAAGAAGTGAGTGTAAAGTTTTATTAACCTTTATATTAATCTTTGCGAATCGCTTGCACGCCAAACGCCAGAAACGCAAGAAAACGCCAAGCTGTTTTCTTCATAAAGACATGGATAAGTTTTTCCAATGCAAGCAAATGTTCTGCAATATTCTCCCCCACTAGCCTGACCCACTTTTACAGCATGATGGAATGACTTGATAAGACTTGGCTGCTCTGAGGAATGAGTCTATCAGCCAAATGGGCAAGCTCCACTGATCCAGGTACGTTCAACCCAGTGATTAAAGAGCACAAGGAGCGGCGGCCATTGTTGCTAACAGCCATTGATCTCCTTGATGCACTTTGATGATTGGCAGATGGGAAACTCAGATGCTTACTATTCAAATGCCCTTAATATCTGACTCAGTGAACCAGTTAAAATCATATATCAATACCAAGATTATTTGTATATAAATCCATATGATGTTAAATCACGTTTCATCACACTGCTATAATAAAAAAATAGGACTTTAAAGAAAGTCCAACAGTTTACTAATCAGAATTAGATTAATATTTAAACGTCTATGAGTCCTTCTCGAAGGAGTAGACTATGATGTTTCGCCAAAGCATGACAGACTACTGTTACCGAAGACAAAAGCATCTTCTCTTCTCACATGTTCGTGCACGAGGAGGATAAGAGCTTTGGAACAATATGAGCAGATGTCTTCGGATATGCCTCAATGCTCAGACCTTGAGTATCACAAAAAGAGCAAATAATATATGATATATGGATATACGGCTTACTTCTGTGTGCTGACCATTTTGTTTTAAGAACATCACAAAGATTTACCGAACTAAATACTGACAATTTAATTTGTTTATAGTTTAAAAAGCTCAACAACAGCTTTGTCAAACTCATCATTTCCTTGTTAAATCCTACAATCTGCTCAATGTGAAAGACAATAAAGTGGCTTGTATGCTGCAGACAATAAACTAAGAACAAGGTGAAGCCTCATATAAAATCATATAAACCATCTCTGGGAATAAACTGTTTGTCATCATATGTTTTTTTCTCACTTTGAATTTATTTATTTTTTTTATTATATAATATATATATATATATATATATATGAAATATAATTAAATAATATTTATAATGATATAATATTTATTTATAATGATATAATATTTATAATATATATATATATATATATATATATAATGAAATAATATTTCATTATATATATATATATATATATATATATATAATGAAATAGATAAATAAAAAGTAAAACGAAGAAAAAAAATCTTTCTTGATATTTTTTGGTCCTTTTATTTATTTAGAGAAAATAATTACTTTCAAAACATTCTTTTACACAAAACTTGATTTTGTTGCTGTTATATATTATGATCTGCAAAGAACGATAACGACCAGAGTATCTTACCTGATAGGCGTCTAGCTGTTCATCAGTAAATATCGTTTGCTTATTACCCATCTTAGTCGAGTGATTTTCCTCTCGTGCAGATGCATCACATTGGTCTTCTCTGTTCTAGGCATTTATGTCCACGGTTTGGCCAGCCGAGAAAATTGGGAGCCAGCATGAAATTTCAGTCCTTCTTTAAGTAGCCTATGCCTGTTGGTGGAAAAGGCGACACTCTCCATAAATACTTAAACAGTTCAAGAAACGTTACACTTGTTTGACGAGTACCGTTCCTGCCTGGCGCGCGCTGCATTTACTCGTCCTGTCGCTGTTCGCTCTCACTATGACTGAATAGCCTACTCAATGAAAATGATTCTTGAACCAACTTACTCCTTTTTACCACCAGGGGGCAGCATGGACCCAGTGGTGTGCATTCTTCTATTCTATTCTATTCTATTCTATTCTATTCTATTCTATTCTATTCTATTCATGAATACTATACACATTTTATTTAGCCTATAGTAGTAAATGTAGTCATCTCAATAGTCATCCCATTCATCCCAACAGCAAAAAGTGTCCCAATCAACCTGAATGTGTCCCTATATGTAATTACTACTAAATACAAAACAAATCTTAAGACACACACACAAAATTTACATAAACAATCACACTGCCATAGAAGAGCCATTTTTGTTCCTCCAAGTGAACAGTCAATATAAGAACTATTTGTTTTTTTATTGTGAAAAAAACCCAAACATTTTAAATGTATAGCTAGTTTACAAAAAAAAAAAAAAACTTTTGTCATAATTTACTCACCATCAAGTTGTTCCAAACCGGTATGAGTTTCTTTCTTCTGTTGAACACAAAAGAAGATATTTTGAAGAATGTTGGTAACCAAACAGTTGACGGCACCCATTGACTACCATAGTATTTTTCTTTCCTACAATGGAAGTCAATGGGGTCCATCAACTGGTTACCAACATTCTTCAAAATATCTTCTTTTGTGTTCAACAGAAGAAAGAAACTGGTTTGGTGACTAAGCGATGACACAAGTTTCATTTTTGGGTGAAATAATAGGGCTAAATAACTTTTTTCCATTTTAAAGAAGCTTTTGTGCAAAAGAAAAATTCCATGAACGTTAAAAGCTCTTCGTCGAACCTTGTTTTTTTTAAAGGGATGTGCTTCAAAATAAACCTTGTAATTTATAAATACTATCAACAAAACGTTTCGCTAAAGTTTTAGGCCAAATCTTTCTTTATAGTCTACTTATTCCATTTATAAAACAAAACTTTACATAACAGAAAAATTCTGAGTTCTGCATTCCATTCTCAGTTTCCATGACAATATCCTAGTAACCATTGTAAGTACACAAAAACGCTGAAAGGGCAACTTCCGGCTGGTGTGAACTTTAAATAAATAATTCACCCCGCGCGTTAATTAAACCAAGAGAACGTTTGAAATGAAGAAAAACATCGGAGCCGTAAAGCACGAGGGAAAACAATCCCCGCATTGAAATCCTCATCGCTATATATAGGGCAGACATTACAGAGAGGCTCGGGCTAGCCGGAGATAGCTAACAGTCACACCTGCTCAGATCTGCCCGTGAGCACTGCACTCTGTAAATGCCCACCAGCATTTATTACCAAAACATCTATCCCATGCTGTAATCTGCGAATGACTGCATAAATCTCAGCGATAATGGACTCTAAGAGGGAAAAGGACAATGGTGAGTAACGTTAGCTAATTATTAACGGTGTTTTAAACCTTAGCGCGTGCTAGCAGGCGGTAGCTGTCCACACACTGTGGTGCTGATTCACAAAGATCCTTCTGGAACTAAAATTACATGTGTTTTATTGGATATTTTTTGCGGGATATTTCATTGGTCTGGCACCATGAATGCAGCCTTACATTATAATTTCAGTAAAACAGCATGGCGTCTCATTTAGTGAATTACTCGCTTGTTGCTCCGTATATGCACTGAATAGGGTTCATTAAACACATACTTTGCCTCTGTTAATTAAACCAACCAATTGTTGATTTGTGACAACTTTTATTGTATCCACATAATTTCAGTTGTTATATTTTGGCTCACAAAACTCTTTTTTTTTTTTTTAAGTGGGTGCTGTGTGTTACCATGGTCGACTTTAAATGGATCAGTATAGATGTTATATTCAAGGCAATTCAGTTAGGTTAGGTGAGATTATTATTATATTTATATGATTTTACACCTTTTTAGAGTACCGGATTACAGGAAACCAATCCCATAACCATCCCAAGTGTTGTATATTTATAGGCTATACAGAGTTTTTAATCAATATTTTAATTAGCTTTATTTTTCATATTTCCCGTTTTCATTTTCAATTTAGTGCGCCTAATTATTTTCTTATGTGCTTTTGTGGCTGTGTTTCTGTCTATCTATATGACTAAAACTAGAACATTTGCTGTTATTATTACATTTTTAAATATAGAAAAAAAAGAAGCAATAAAAACTGACAAATTAAATGTAAGGACACAAAGATGTTGTTATAATAGAATGATAAAAATGTCAGCATGAAAAAATGAATATTTGCAGGACGTTACATTAAAGCCAGAGGGAGCTGCGGCTGTAATCCAGTCTTTGAGAGTCAAAGAAAAGCGACACATAAAAGGAGATTAAAACTGTAATCACCATGAATATTTTGAATAGAGCCACATTTATAATCTCCCCACAGAAAATACAGAACACGCCACGAAGAGCTTTAATACTGTTAGGACTATAAAAAAAAATGCTATACAATCACAAATTTTCTCCTTATATTCCAGATACAGAATGTGCAAAGATCACCACCGTGCTTCTGAAATCCCGCACTGGGGAGTTCGACTTGGAGTCCATTTTGTTTCTTAAACTGAGGAATTTAGGTAAAAGAACAGGCTGAATACATTCTCACAGTCGCACAATCTTGCTCATGTTTTTTTTGTTTTGTTTTTTGCCAGGAATTTATGATCTTGGATGTATAGGAGAGTGTGTAAACCTGGAGAGGCTGGACCTCTCTGGAAATAACATCACAAATCTGGGTCCTCTTTCACCTCTACGAAGACTTCTTGTTCTAAACTTGTCAGCTAATAGAATCTCAAATTTAGGTAATGATTATTTCAACCTTAAAGAGGCTATCAGTAGAATTCAGAAAGCCTTTTTATCAGCAAAATCGCTGGCCGTAAAATTGGCCAGCAACTTAGTCTAATAAGAGCGATGTTTAGATGAATATGTAAATTATGTGCAGCTTTCCTCTCAATAAAAAATAAACACACAACAAAAATGACAGTCAGGAAAGCCTCTGATCATAGCAATGTGGATATGTTTGAGGTTTTTTTTCATAAAAGTCTACAGGCTTGCATAGACAACCTAGGAAGTCTGAGAAGGTCCGTTTATGTCTCGTTTCTTTACAAGCTGTTATTTGCAATGTTTTACTCATACATGATAATTGTTTTATAGAGCAGCTTTAATCTGATTATAAAAATCAGTGCTATTATATATGCCTTTTAGAGTTGATCATTTCTCTTCTCAGAACCCCTTTCCAGCTGTGAAAGTTTACAGAGTTTGAATGTTGCTGGTAATGTGATACAGAGGTAAGCCGCCCTTTTTTAGCTACTCATATTTATCCGCTTTCCTATCCACCTTTCTATATGACACATTGATTTGCACCTACAGTGTTGAAAGTGTTCATTCACTCAAGTCTTTAAGAAAGCTGGAGAGCATCAGACTGAAGGACAACACCTATAATTACACCAATCCAGGTTAGCATTTTTATTTATTTTTTGGCTTTAATTTAATAAATCTTGTTGCCGCTCAAAACATTTCTTCATTCTTATTTATTTTTCTGCAGTCTGCAAGAGTTCGTCATACCGAACTATTATTCTTGAAATGTTTTCGAACTTGAAAGTGTTGGATGGTGAGTTTTTCATTTTATTTTGCTAAAGACTTTTTTTCAGAAAATGTTGTACTCAGTCTAGCAAGTTATCATATTCTCTTTTAATGTGTTATTTAAGGTGAAAGGGTGGTGGGACGTGGAAGTGACTTATATCAACTATGCAAAGACATTGATGAAACAATTAAAGGTACTTTAAATCCTGTTAATTTAATCTCCTGCCTATATATCTAAATGTTCTATAATTATAATTTTCTCTTTCATTTGTAGCAGGCATGTATAAAAACGGCCAACTGCCTGAGGTGCCAGAGACCAAACCTTGGGTGGATGATGGTTTCTGGGAGATAAAGAGATCAAACAATGCCATTGTTGATGAAGCCTATAAACAGTTCAGTGGTATGGGCTAAACTCATGTACATTAATCATAATCATTTTCGAAAACATTCAACTGCAGTCACACTTCCAAAGCATTGATTTAATATGCTTAACCATCTCAACAGATGTTCTTCATGAATGCAGACTCCTGAATAGTCGAGCAGCACATGTGATCTCACAAAACGAACGGACCTTCAACCTCAAGAACCAACCAAAGCAGTATGCCGTTTGAATCTGGGAATATCTGCATCTAATTATGTTTCCATAAGAATGCATCTGTTTTCCACAGCTTTTTCTATGTGTTTTTAAATGTCCATAAGCTTGATGCATCACCGGTGCCAGAAATCCAAAATGCTCCGTGTTGCCTGCAGTGTGAGGGTTTCGTTTTTGTAACTACTCTTGATTTTCCACCGTTCGAAGCAGTGGTTCTCAACCAGGGTGCTGCAATGAACTTCCAAGAGGGGTTTAGATAACTTGAAATTAAGCTATAACAACAACAAAATCAAGATATGTCTTTGTATTTGGTTATTTTTATATCGAAGATACACAGATGAGCCAAAACATGACCACCTATCTAGGGTCAAAACAGCACTGACCCACGAGGCATTGGACTTATTCGCTTCACCTGTGACTGGTCATAATGTATTGGCTCATCAGTGTACGTCTTTCTAGTTATTATAAGCTTTAAAGCTCTATATTTCATTACATTGAGTGTGAGGAGGGCCTTCAGGTATTGTTGGGGACAATAGGTTGTCTTGAAGTCAAAAGGTTGAGATCCATTGGTTTAGAGAGACTGATGCTGTAGTTACCCCTAATCCAATTGGATCACTGTCTCAGGATGTTCAGAATCAAGACAATTCCTCTTTGCACTCCTAAAACAATGCTGTATTTAACATTATGCTTTAAATTATGCTAAAAATGCTGCTATTTCTATATTTCCAAATGATAATGTACCATTAGTATTGTTTATTAAAGGGATACTCCACTTTTTTTGGAAATAAGCTCATTTTACAACTCCCCCAGAGTTAAAAATTAGAGTTTCACCGTTTTCGAATGCATTCAGCCGATTTTCTGATATTTAGAAGAATATCAGTAACCACCAGACTTTTCTGGTCTCATTGACTTCCATAGTATATATTTTTTCCTACTATGGAAGTCAATGAGACCAGAAAATGTCTGGTTACTGATATTCTTCTAAATATCAGAAAATCGGCTGAATGCATTTGAAAACGGTGAAACTCAACTGTTTAACTCTGGGGGAGTTGTAAAATGAGCTTATTTCCAAAAAAAGTGGAGTATCCCTTTAATCACTTCTGATGCTTTCCCATGTTGCTCTTCTTGTTTACAATTTTTAGAGAATGCTTTTTGCCTTTTTATTCTATGCCTAATGTGGACAATTTTTTGTACATTACTTGTTTTCATAAGGTATTTCTTTTTCTTTGCTCAAGCAGCTTTTTGTTATCTTAATTGGATAACATATACATATTGGATAGCTTCTGCATCTTTGTATTTGCATTTTGTTGGATAAAGTACGGAACATTCATGCCAAATACCCCTGTGTCTATTTTTATTAATAGTAATGTATTTTATTTTTATTGATTTTATTACAAGTAATGTAAATAAGCTGACTATTAAAAAGAATCAGGCCTGGTTTCACAGACAGGGCTTAGAGTATGCCAAAGTCCATTTCAAAAAAATAAAATAAAAAAATAAATAAATAAAATAAAAATAAAATAAAATATTAAAAAAATATCTACAATCTTTGATTAAGCCAGGAGAAGGAAATCATTAAAATAGAACATTAAGTAGCTTTAATAAATGTGCCTAAGAAAAAAAAGGAAAAAAAAAAAAAAAAAAAACATTACTGTTGTGAATCTTGAAACAAGGGCAGTGCACGATGCTTTCAGATAAAACGTGCATTTTAGTCCGGGTATTTTAATGGTTAAAGTGAATGTTTACTCAAAAACAAATATTCTGTCATCATTTACTCACCCACACATGTTGTTCCAAACGAAGTCGTTCTGTCTTCCATGTAATACAAACGGCAGAATGACCTCAGTGGTGTGGTCTACATCGGTCTATATACAGGCACTAAACGTAAAAGTTGCCCACCTCACGAATTCTTTTCTATCCTAAAGGTTATTTGTTTAATCACTAAAAAGTTTTGATCATGAGGGGAGAAAAGTCACGTTGCAAAAAAAGAAAAAGTTGGAAAAAATCAGAAAATTTTACAGAGACATCCAGTGCAGTAGGGGGAGTGCAACAAAAGTATGCACGTTCAGCATGCCAGAGTTCTCATCTTTACAGCTGCTGCTGCAGATCAGCGGGCTGTACATAAGGTTGCCAGGTTTATCTAAATCCCCATTTGCAGTCTGAAAATTTGAAAATCGCATTTTCTCCCTGCAATTGTTGGGAGGATTTGTGAATTAATATCAAAATTCATAAAGTATAGATTACTCTGAAAAGTAAGATTTTGTTATGCTCCTTTAATTTTTTCATGTATACTTCCAAAAATTTCTATTAAAAAAATATTTTTGCTCAATAAAAAAAAGGAGTAGTTAACTTTTGAAAAAAAAAAAAATTGCTGATAATTTACTCACCCCATGTCATCCAAGATATCCATGTCATTCTTTCTTTAGTCGAAAAGAAATGAAGGTTTCTGATGAAAACATTCCAGGATTTTCTCCATATAATGGACTTTAATGGGAACCAAACGGTTCAAGGTCCAAAAGACAGTTTCAGTGCAAACTGTTCAAAGGGCTTTAAACGATTCCAGACGATGAATAGGGTCTTATCAAGCGTATCACTGAACGAAATTAACGAATTGACTTGGGAAAAGATTTGTTCATTTTGATGAATGAACTTAGTATTACTGAACTTAAATATACGAGCTTGATAAAAATGATCATTCTAGAAGAAAATTTCAAATGGCACTTAGAGGCTTTTGCATCTGAACTCTTCACATGGACATCTTGGATGACATGGGGGTGAGTAAATTATCAGCAAAAGTTTTTTTGAAAAAAAAGTGAACTACTCCTTTAAATAATACAAAATATGATTAAACTCACAAATTCATTTGAATTAAAAAATGATTAAAAAACAAACAATGCATGATGAGTAGAAACACATAATAATATAACCTAATTTAATAAAATAGTATAAACTAAATAAATACAAAAAAAAATGTATTTATGCATGAAAATATATAGCTAGATAAGACTCGCGCACCAGAATGCCGCAGGGTAAAGCTTTTAGTCTAGGTAAAATCTGGCAACCCGAGATACTCATAGAGGAGGATGAGACACCGGATAGCTCCGTTGAGTTAGTAGTCGCAAGATCACGGTTAGCACAGGATGGCTGGAAACGCATGGAGGTCAACGGTAAGGACTCTATTATATGACAAACCTCAGATTACAGCAGTCCGTGTCTGCCTAATACGACTGTGTACTATGAATGCAAGTATATACTTACCGCACGCTGAAAAAACGTTGCGTTGCATTAGAGATGCCACAGCGGCCCTGTACTGCATGCCCTTCACACAGGCACTTACACGTTTAACACATTTAACCGTACCCAGTCAACAAATTTATGAATCTTATATATGAACACATATGATGTGATGAGTGATAGTGTAAGAGAACTTAAGAAAAGTCGATGCGTTTTGAAATCACGCCCGAGTCAATCGCCACAGATGTTCATTCAAAACCACTGCAGTCATCCTCCATCCTCACATTATTGTGTGTAATAGCCCTAAGAGTAAATAAACTCAGCTAGTAAGACAGCAAGGCCAGGTTGTTGTAATTTAAAACGACATTCTTGCCTTTTCAGCTCCTAAAACTTCTCGAGAGATGCGGCGTGCGGATAAGTGACGCAAACGGGATTCCGGAAGTAAGACGCGCATCTCAGTTCAGTCAGTTAGCTTTAACGCGTTAGCTTGCAGTGGGTTATTATAGTAATTGAAGATGGCAAATCTGACGTGGACACTAAAATAGTCACTGTTAGATGGTTTTTAAGTGAGCTTAGCTGATTTACATCAGCAAGGAGATCCATTAACGCCACCTAACTAGCAAACCACCAGCTAGTGGATGAAGGTCACCTCGACATATTATTGGCTTCATGAATGCAGTAAGAAGAGCTGACTGATGTCACGAATTAATTTATGAGTTTCCCTTATTAAGTTAATGTCATCATAGTTCTTCTAGAACATACAAACATGGATATAAGGGATGATAAATGACAAACATGCAGAAGAGAAAGCTTGGTGTTACAATTATGGCTCATAATGTGGTTTTGATTCATAGGCTATTACTCTGATATTAGAAAGATGAAATATAAAAAAAAAGCTGTGCATATGGCGGGAGACATTGGCTCTATAAATCATCATATAATGAATAATTATTTCCACACATGGCTCTAAATGTGTTCAAACTTAAGCCACATATTTAAATATGAAAATATTCAAATAATGAAACGCATTATGGCATCAGAAAGAATACTACTACTACTAACGTTTCTAAAAACTAACTACTTTTCTTATAAGGGGCCTGGTAAGAAGTCAAATGAGCTGGCAAAAACTTAGTCTACTATTGTCTTAATTTTGAATCTCTGTAGGCTCTGTAGGGTCCAAATACCTTTTGGTTCGCAGTTTAATGGCATCACTCTCTCACAGTACACTGCTTTCTCAAATAAATAAATAAAAATAATTCCTAGTAATGTCCCCATCAGATATGCTATCTTTTTTGAGGGGGTTGCTTTTGTCATTTGTGTTTGGTCATCAATGACCAGTAGCGTTAAAGTTTTAGGCTGATTTAAACTGAATGTTCATACTTGAAGTGTTAACCATGCAGATTTGTGAAACTACACCCCTCAGGGATAATTGATCTTACGCCGAATAATGGGCAAAGATTTGCATTGGTTTAATCTTTTGGCTTCAGGATGGTCCCTGGTGTAATTCACCTTCTACATGCTGGTCGCCTTAATTGGACTTGCTGCATTTTCGGTTCAACGTAACACTTAAAGTTTGCTTGTGGAGTTAATGGGATCAGATTAAGTCTGGCTCAGTCTAATTACCTGCTAAAGCTACTGTTAGCTGCAGTGAAGATCAGCGGCAGCAGTCGTATTAAAAACGCATGGCCAATAGAATGGGCTTTGTGCAGTAGTGTCAGCTTGATTGATCTTCCAGTGTTATTTATCTGTTTGTACCTTTGAAATCGCCTCTGTAGGTTTCCCGTGTAATAGGAGCCATAAAGACCCAGGCCCCACAGCCCAGAACCTTCTCTAGAGGGGTAAGTTGAATTTTACTCTCACTGCTGTACCATCATTTGTGATTATGGTAACATAATAGTAACACTAACAAATCTATAGTATTTTTAAAGATGTACCATGTTAATTCCAATGATATTAAAGGGATGGGGCCTATATTTCACCCAAGAATGAAAATTCTGGCATCTTTTACTCACCCTCCAAAACCTGTATGATTTTTTTTATTTTATTTTTTTCTCTGCTGAACACAAAGAAATATTTTTTGTAGAATATGGGTAATCAAACAGCTGTAGGTAGGGCATCATTGACTTTCATAGTATGGAGAGAGAAAAAGTACTATTTTCAAGAAACATTAATAGATAACTATTCTAGTTATCTAGTCTTTTATAATGTTCTCAAAATGTTAGTCAAGCGTCATTTATGCATCGTCTATGGAGTTTTTTCTGTAACGTTTTACTACTACGTATTTCAGAATATTAGGAGAACATTTAAAATTAACATTTCAATAATGTTTGAAGAATGATAATGGATTTTCTCTAACGTACACGGAACAAAGAACAAAAAAAAAAAAAACGCTTTAAAACATTTTCTCAAAAATTGATGTTTTTATATTCATAAATAACTTTTATATTTTGGAACGTTAGCAAAACATTCTTAGAACGTATTTTTCTTAGCTGGGAATGATGCATATGAATATAGTTTGTGGTCCAGTTTGGTACATGCTCACTGTTCTTTAACATGAACAGAATTTCAAAACGTAATGGAATTTAAGTACATCAATACATTTTATTTGTTAAAACTATTAGGAAAATGGAATTTGATATCATAAATTTAAATGAATGACCTTATGGATGGAAATATGCACACTTTGACAAGTAACAACTTTGACAATGTTCTAAATAACCATCAATATAATAAAAGGGATGGTAAATGGTCAGTTTTACACATCCAAAAGGCAAGTGCTTGGAAAAGCTTAATGTTGAGCTTTGGGGTAAGCATGAATCATAAAAGAAATCTCAAACTTTAATTTTACAGCCTGCAGAAAATATGTAGTTGTGCAAGATGCACACAAAGGCGTTGCCTTTTTGGCACTAGTGCAACTGTATTCAAAACATATGCTGCAAAATTATTTGACTTATTCTGGAGATATTAGTTCTAGGAGCCTGCAGTTCAAACTTGATGAACTTTAGTACTTTTGTAGAGAAATCCTCAAAAATATGTAGAAGTTTGTGATGCATGCCAGATTGTAATACTTGTGAATAATTTTCCGATTATTTTATTTATTTATTTTTGTGCTTTATTTTGACAGATTCAAACTGTAACGTTAATTCCCGGAGATGGAATCGGTCCAGAGATCTCCACTGCAGTAATGAAGATATTTGAAGCAGCAAAGGTACGGATCTGTTGTTTTACTCTTCGGGAATTCAGCTTAGGCTGCAAGTTGCAACAAGTGCATTGAGCGACTATTATACTTTTAACCCCTTTTCTTCACTGCTTTCAGTCTTCGAAGAGAATTCAGCACATTTGTGTAAATATTTGCCCAGTTGTATTTAAAGTCACCATGAATTCAAAAAGGAAAATTCTTTTTTTTTTTTTTTTTTTTTTCTCAATGGAATATTGTAGGATTTATTTTAAATGATTAATCTGTGCACATCATTATTATTATTATATATTTTCATGTGCCTTTGTAATCTTAAACCTTCCCTCCCTCTTGCAGCGACATCTAGTCAAGTCAAATCAAGTCACCTTTATTTATATAAGGCTTTTTACCATACAGACTGTATAGTGATAACAGGGAAATAATGCAACAAAGTTTGTTTTGGCTGTAAAGCAGCTCTTGAATAAAATAGTGTCATTGTCCAGCTTAAGGAAGTTCAGTGATGGTTCAGTTTAGTTATGAAGAAGTAATTAATTTAGTCCATACAGCAGCTCTGGCGGAAATGATGTCATCGACACGTCCAGCTCAGTTCAGTTTTCATATAGTGGTGTCAAAGCAGGCAGATCAATAATATTGTTGAATATTAAGTGCCCCCAACTAAGCAAGCCAGAGGCGTGTAATGGCAAATTTCAGCAAATTTTTAATGAAAACAGCATTAAAGGTGTAAGAAACTTCCAAACAAGCTAATTGTAATAAAGAGAAAAGGTTTATTCTTGTGAGGCCTCTTTTCCAGAGCCGCAGCTACCCAGCTCGGAAACCAGAAGACCCGTTTGATTTCCACAAAACATGACATTTTATTCAGTTCTTTGGCATCGTAAAACCCCTTCTTCCCAGTTTCTGTAACTTTCCTTGTCTGTAACTGGTTTCTACCCCTTATAGGAAAGACCAAATTGTTTCTTGTTTTCTGAGGTGACAAAAGGTCTTCATTTATGAGTGGCTCTACGCACCAACCCACTGGTGTCACAATAGGGAAGAAAAGACTATCACAATTTTAGTTTAATGCCAACTTTAAAGCTACATTGTCGCCTTTTTTTCTCAATCAGGCCCCTATTCAGTGGGAAGAGAGAAACGTCACCGCCATCCAAGGTCCTGGAGGCAAATGGATGATCCCTTCTGAGGCTAAAGAGTCGATGGACAAAAACAAAATTGGATTAAAAGGTAAACTTGTCGACTCGCACGCATCAGTCGAATCATTATAGTGTCAACAAAACTCACACAGTCAATTTCGATTATATTTTAGGCCCCCTGAAAACGCCAATTGCTGCCGGACACCCGTCCATGAACCTGCTGCTAAGGAAGACCTTCGACCTGTATGCCAATGTGCGTCCTTGTGTGTCCATCGAGGGCTATAAGACGCCTTACACCGATGTGGATCTGGTCACCATCAGAGAAAACACAGAAGGAGAGTACAGTGGGATTGAACACGTGGTATGTATGTGTGCCCGTATGCATTTTCAAACTATTTTATCAGTAAGTCAACCAAACCAGAGCTAGTTGTTTTTATTCTTTTGGTTTCTGCTGCAGAGATCTGCAGTTGCGGGAAAAAGTATGTGAATACTTGGACATTTTACATGGATTTATGTATTAATTGAAGATCAGGTCTGGATCTGACCTTTTAAATAAGTCCCGCCAATAGACATTATCTGCGTCCGAATTTGCATACTAGATAGTAGGTACTACATTTGGTTTTGAAACTTGCTTCATGACTGTTGAAGTACGTTCTATATAGTTCTAAGTCTGCCGTGTCATGTGACCTACGGTGTCAATTGCATTGCTTCACTGTCATTCACAAATCCTCTCCCGTGACCTCATGGGATATAGTAAAGTGTCCATTGAACATCAGAATCTAGAAGTATTTAGGACTGGTTCACATCCAACACGTTTTTGAGACTCACTGGAATGAAGAAAAAAAAAAGGATATGGGGTTCATGTACTTTTTCCTGCAAGTGCAACTGTATATACATTTATATACATCCCTTTAGTTCTTTAGGCCTAGTAAACAACAATAGGATGACATTTGACCTTCGAGGCTCCCTGCACAAATGTCAAAGGTCATGCTATTGTCATCTAATGCTATCTTAACCAGTTTTTCACGCAGTGCTAGCGGGAATTCAGTGGGCAAATCTCATATTTCAGTGCTGTTTATTCTTTAGGTAGGTGTCACATGGTCTATAAATCAGTCGTCTCTGGTCCCACTCCATAGTGTGTCAAAGCGTTACGTGAAATGACCTTCAGGTCGTCACATTTCATTCATCTTCCCTTTGTCTGTTCACGTTATTCAAAGTTCAATCATTACCATTCAAGAGTTTGGGGTCAGTACAATTTTTCTTTTGGATGAAATAAATAGATTTATTTTGTGAGGATGAATTAAAATGAAATTGATCAAAAGTAACTGTACATAATTGATTAATTATAAAATAAATGAAAATTTTAGTAAATAAATGAACTAAAATATTAAAGGGATAGTTCACCCTAAAATGAAAATTGTCATCATGTGCTCATCCTGGTATTGTTTCTAATGTCATATGCCCTTCTTTCTTTTATGGACCACAAAAGGAGAGGAAAAAAGGCAGTGAACAGTGAGCAGCATCAAGCTTTTTAAAAGAAGACCCAAAAATATCGCTCGTCACGTGCCGTATATTTCTTTGCACAAAACCTTAATTTTCATTATGGGGGAACTATCATTGATGATAATAAGAAATGTTTCTTGAGCTGTAAATAGCATATTAGAATGATTTCTGAAAGATCATGTGACTTAAGACTGGAGTAAGGATGCTGAAAATGTAGATTTTATCACCGGAATAAGTTACATTTTAAAAATATATTCAAAATAGAAAACAGTTGTTTTGAAATTGAAATATTTTACAGTTTTACTGTATTTTTGATCAAATAAATGCAGACTTGAGCATAAGAGACTTCTTTCAAAAACATAAAAAGCACCAACCCCAAACATTTGAAAAGTAAGTCCATCAAATGAAACTTAAAAAAAAAAAAAAAAAATCTTTGTATAGCAGTACACTAATAGTTTGTTTAGCAGTCATCATATCTTGCCCCTTTGTATGAACTAACCTGACTCTGTTTTTTTTAAAACCTAAACTTGGTTTTGTCTATATAAACTGGTTTGAATAAAACCACAATATTAAATGTGCTCTATTTTCACCTGAATCAGATTGTGGATGGAGTTGTGCAGAGTATTAAACTGATCACAGAGGATGCCAGCAGACGCATCGCTGAGTATGCATTTGAGTACGCCAGAAATAACCAAAGAGCCAGCGTCACGGCTGTTCACAAAGCTAACATCATGTGAGTTTCACGTTGACTAGAAATGTCACTTTGTAGCTGACAAATTACTATATAACAGGATGTTTTGTTTACTGGTAACAAATGTCTTATTGGATGTGAAATAGTTTTAATATACAAAGATGCTGAATTCAGTGATGTCTTCTAGGCGAATGTCTGACGGTCTGTTTCTGCGGAAGTGCAGAGAGGTTGCTGAGAATTTCAAGGATGTGAAATTCACAGAGATGTATCTGGATACAGTTTGTCTCAATGTATGTATACAAATTATATTAGGCCTTTTTGTACTCATCTTGCAACTCTGAAATGCTTTTGATGTGATTTAAAAAAAAAATTTATGTGTGTGTGTGTGTATGTGTATATATATATATATATTTATTTTAGGAGTGTAATGTTGTTGGTAAAATAAAATCAAACCACACACTTTTTTCATCTTAAATCTTACGATTCATCTAAAATATGGTTTATTGAAAATAATAATGATGCTTAATGGACAGACAAAGTTCTGTTAATGCATATTTCTGTCGATTGATACACATTCTGGGTTCACAATGCATTACAACAGCGATGACCCTGCTAAAACTGCTCTTTTATATAGTTATATCTAACTAATTATATTTCAGAAGGGAAAAGTCATTCAATTACAGTACTTAATTACTTGGTTATACATGACACACAACACTGCCCAGTAGTCTCTCTATTTTCATCAAATCATTAAGATCTTTGCATTGTGATTATTCACTAGATGGTGCAAGATCCCTCTCAGTTTGATGTGCTGGTTATGCCTAATCTATATGGTGACATCTTGAGGTGAGTTGGTGTACTGTAAAGCATCATATAATAATATTAAACGTGATATGATTATCTTTAGACTGCAACTTTTACCAGCCTTTGCTTTGTCTTTCAGCGATCTGTGTGCTGGATTGATTGGAGGCCTCGGAGTCACTCCCAGCGGGAACATCGGAGCCAATGGTGTTGCCATATTTGAATCGGTACGTGTTGGGCGCTGCAATAGCGTTACACTGGACTGGAGTGATAAATTAGTATCATTCCATTTATCATAATTCTTGTTTTTTGTGTGTGTTATTAGGTGCACGGAACTGCCCCTGATATCGCAGGCAAAGATCTGGCAAACCCTACCGCCCTTTTGCTGAGTGCCGTCATGATGCTGCGTCACATGGGACTGCACGGTTATGCTAAAAAGATTGAGACCTCCTGCTACGACACCATACGGGACAAAAAGGTAGGAGGATCAGTTATTAGTGATCTTTAGAGTCTATAGACAGATCTTGATACTTACATCTGTGACCTGTTTTTATGTTCTCCAGCTTCTGACTAAAGACCTTGGCGGAAACTCCAAGTGCTCAGAGTTCACCGATGACATCTGCCGAAGAGTTAAGGACATGGATTGAGGCTTTTCTAAATGCCTATGTATGGATCTCATCCCTTAAGAACTGAGAGTTAAAAAAACATGAATTTAATCTTCGTATCATTCTGATATCTGCGCACAATTCTACTAAGTGTCTGCATTTTTGTTTCTCCAGAACCGCAAAGCACTGTCTTAAATTCTTGTTCTACGGTGACTGTATTTGTGAGCTGTTTTAATCTGTCAAAAAGGAACTACATAATCTAAGATAAACCGTATTTATTGACTGGACATTTTCTTTGGTTAAATATTGACAACTTGCCTTTCTGTCACATGACAGGAATACTCTTGTCCAAGTATTAGAGGCTGAAATACATACTGTGCGTTCTTTTCTCTTTAATGAATCCGTTTTTAGGTTGTACTTTTATATCAGCTATGAACTTTGTGTTATGGTTAACAATTAATATAGTTCAAACAGCTGTTAACCTTTGCTGTGTCAATTGTGAAATGAGTGTACCATCAAGACAGAATATAACGTCTATTTTTTATGGGCAAATCAGCCTATGTCTTAATTTTTACAGAGCACTTTTATACTATCATTATAGCACTGCATAAAAATGAGAGCATTTCCATATACAGTCAGTATATGCACAAAGCGAGCGAGTTTTACTTTTAAGATCTGATCAAAACATACAGGAATATTAAACGGAATAGAACAAACTAAATAACAGTAGGTTTAAAATAGGAGTAAATTATGTTGTTAAATTAAAAAAGCATGTTCCTGCAATCTTTCTTAGCAAAAAGCAATACTATCTTTGATTGAGATACAGCCAGTCTGGGGGTCTTCTATACTCTGTAAAAACTCTCTATTTCACTGTGATACTTCTGCAACACCACTGGGCGACGTAGTTTCATTGTAGGGCCTGAAAAAAAAAATATATTCTGTTATCTTTTGGAATGAACAGTCTTGCAGGTTCAATACAAGTTGAGATCCAGATACATTTCTCCATCCAGTTTATAAAAACAAGCAATGGGCATCTATAGGTAGGTATTTCTGCACTCACCTAGTTCTCCTCCAACAATTGAGAAATCTTTCCCTAATATGGTCCACTTTTGTATGCGTTGTGCGTTTGAGTTTGCTTTTGAATTGACCAGTGCAATACCCTCTTTAATGGACTGGTACACTAGCTTGTCTTTTCCTCCAATGATGTCTGACACTTTTGTCGCTTGGCTACCAAGTCGCTGACAGTATTCCACAGCCTCCAAGCTAAGACTGTCTGTTGGCTCTGCGGTCTCTGGATTGATTGTGCACTATCCAAGGAAAGGAAGAACAGAATAACCTAAATGATTTAAGAGTTGTTGAAGCCATAACTTTATTTTAAAGCATAGTTTACCTTTAGCGTTAGCAGCATGGACAGAAATTTCATTTTGTCTCCGATTAGCATAGCATTGCTGATGATTGGCAACTGCTGTTTCACTGCATCCTCTATGGGAAGTGGGGGAACGTTTTCTCCTCCGGCAGTGATAATGAGCTCTGAAAGGAAAGAGATTGAATGGAAATGCCATTTAAAGTTAACCTAAATCGAATTACACAGTACCATCAAAGCTAGTAAAAAAAATGTGTAGGGTTAAAAATAGCATCCTTTACCTTTTATTCTTCCGGTAATGTAAATAAAGCCATCTTCATCTACCTTTCCCAAGTCTCCAGAGTGGAGCCATCCATCTTCATCCAAAGCCTCCTTTGTTTTTTGCTCAAGGTTGAGGAAGCCCATGAAGACATTCCTGCCCCAAAAACACACTTCTCCAATTCCGTCAGCGTCCATGTTTACTAGTTTGTATCTGCAGCCTGGAACCACCTTACCACAGCTAGAAGAGTTCAAGGACACGTTACACAGTGAACTTGATTATTGACCTTCAAGTTAAAATTATTCAACCTGTAAATTGAGGAAAGAAGGCTTGCCTTGAAAAGCGGTACACTTTGGGTCCAGAAAAAAAGTTGGGTCCTGAGCATTCACTCATCCCGTAAATTTCATACAGACGAATGTTGAGACCAAGGAAAAACTGAAGTGTTTCGCTTCCAATAGGCGCAGCTCCCGAAAAGAATTTTTCACAATTAGAGAGGCCCACCTCGGCACGAAGCTTTTGTAAGACCAAGCTGTCCGCAAGATTGAAGAGGAATGACTTCTCCTCATCCCTAATTTGAAGACAATGATCATATAAACATAAAGGTCCAAATAGCATGAATGTAACATACAGACAGTACTTTAAAAAGATATATGTACTTGGTAAGCCTTTGATTTTCCTCCAGACTAACAGACATGGCCCATGTCACCAGTTTCCTTTTCATGTATCCACACTGCGATATGCCTTCTTTGATCTTTTCCATAATTTTCTCCCAAACACGAGGAACGCCCAAGTGGGCCGTGGGGTTTACCTCTCGAAGGGTGTCTACCAAACTCCCCTAGAAGGGAAGATAAAACAAGTGAGCAGTGCAGAATAGACTATGCTTTATTTGACAGTGTGGCAGTGGTCCAGTCTCAAGTCCAAGACCATATTTTCACTTGGACTCAACCCTCTCCAGTCCAGGTGTCTGTCTTGACTTGAGGCCAGTTGCATAAGCTTAGCCACAATGTTAAGACTGTCTTAACAACTATTTGTCCAACTAAAAATTAGTCAAGAGGTAATCAGTCTTACTTTTCTGATTCAAATTTGACAGATCTATCTTTTTACCAGTCTTTGGTAAACTTTCGAGACTAATCTAAGCAGTTTATCCAACCGGCCCCTGAACTCAAATTACTCAGGTCTTGGCCTAGACTTGAATGAGCTGGTCTAAATTACAACACCAGTTACAGGATTTAAAGCAAAAGTTCCACCTTCCAGTAGAGTGTCCAATTCGAATAGAAACTTCAGGGTAGGCGTATTGGATAACAAACTCTGCAGGAAGGTGGCCCTCCAGGAGCAGTATTGGACACCCCAGTCTAAAGAGTCCTGTTTTTGAGCAATTACCTTTAGAGCATCTGGCTGAGCAAAGAAAACCTGCTCCCCGAACTGGATCCCTGCCCAGAGATCAAACATTTGGCCAGCAATATGGTTGAGAGGAAGGTAGCTGACCAGAGACTCTTGCCTGATTTCAGCTGGCTGCACACCTCCAACCCTGATTCCATGATGGGTTGTCCATGTGATCTATCGGAGTCCAGAGTTCAAAATTGTCAGTGATCTACAACACAACATTGCCACTATATTGTGAATGTAACTTTTTGTCATAGCTGCATACGTTGTCATGGCTCAACATCACTCCTTTGGGTGGTCCGGTTGTTCCAGATGTGTAAATAATTACGCAGCACTGATTGGCTTTCTGGTTACTGATGACTTCATCCAGTTCTTGATCAGAGATTTCCAGTCCTAGTGCCATGAACTCTTCCCACTGTCCAAAGACAAGCAGTCACCGTAAGTCTTTGGTTAAAAAAAAAAGTAAACTCAGACAGGTCTCTGTTTATCCAACACTCACCGAATAGAGATTGGGCAACTTCTCCTTCAAAGATCCAGAATACTGCACTATGGCTTTTAAGTGTAGCAGCTTATCCCTAACCTAACAATAAAACAGGAGTATTAATCAGTTTGTTCATTGATTATGAGAAGCTCCAGGTACATATAAAGTACATCAAATTTTACCTGTAAAATCTTATACAGCTGCTCTTGATTTTCCACAACAATGACATTGGCTCTTAAATCATTTGCGACGTAGAGGCAGGCATCCGGTGAGTTTGTGGTATAGATCCCTGCTATTATGCCCCTAGCATTAACAGAAAATATAGATGTGAGGGCTGGGATTCTAGCCCTAACATTGCTATTTATTTAGTTCGCTTCAGTTTGAATTTGATATGTATAGGCCCCTGTAAGAGCTTGCCCAATGTGTAAATGGGCTTTTCATGCTTTATATTAATAAGACTACAAAAGGTCATTTTTAATGATCTTGTTCCATGTTTCACAAGACGTACATTCACATGCAATTTTAAATATCAATCAGACTAAGGCTGCATCCGAAAGCTTAAACCTCATTGGTTCTTGTGGAAGCTCAAACACGAGAACAAACCTCATTGGTTGTTGAGGAAGCTCAAACACGAGAACAAACCTCATTGGTTCTTGTGGAAGCTCAAAAACGAGAACGAACCTCATTGGTTCTTATGGAAGCTTGGTTCTTGTGAAAGCTCAAACACGAGAATGAACCTCATTGGTTCTTGTGGAAGCTCAAACACGAGAACAAACCTCATTGGTTCTTGTGTAAGCTCAAACACGAAAATGAATCTCATTGGTTCTTGTGGAAGCTCAAACACGAAATTTAATCTCATTGGTTCTTGTGGAAGCTCAAACATGAGAATGAACCTCATTGGTTCTTGTGGAAGCTCAAACACAAGAACAAACCTCATTGGTTCTTGTGGAAGCTCAAACACGAGAACAAACCTCATTGGTTCTTGTGGAAGCTCAAACACGAGAACAAACCTCATTGGTTCTTGTGGAAGCTCAAACACGAGAACGAACCTCATTGGTTCTTGTGGAAGCTCAAACACGAAATTTAATCTCATTGGTTCTTGAGGAAGCTCAAACACGAGAACAAACCTCATTGGTTCTTGTGGAAGCTCAAACACGAGAACGAACCTCATTGGTTCTTGTGGAAGCTCAAACACGAGAACAAACCTCATTGGTTCTTGTGGAAGCTCAAAAACGAGAACGAACCTCATTGGTTCTTATGGAAGCTTAAACACAAGACAAACCTCATTGGTTCTTGTGAAAGCTCAAACACGAGAACGAACCTCATTGGTTCTTGTGGAAGCTCAAACACGAGAACAAACCTCATTGGTTCTTGTGGAAGCTCAAACACGAGAACGAACCTCATTGGTTCTTGTGGAAGCTCAAACACGAGAATGAACCTCATTGGTTCTTGCACGCAAGCAATCATTTTTGAGCTTCTGTTTACCATAACTGCTATGTGCGTTGATGAATTTAAAGTGATCGGGTCTCTTCAGAAAAGGACTAAACCACTCAGTTGATATTATTTAGTTTTACCATCTCTTTATGAACTTTTTAAACTGTCCAAAGTGGTAGTTGTAGACTGTCAATGGAGGAACAGAAATCTCTCAGGTTCCATTTAACATTTCTTTGTGTTCTGAAGATGAATGAAAGTCTTATGAGTTTGAAACAACATGAGGGTGAGTAATTAATGAAATTATATCAATTTTGAGGTGAACTATCCCTTTAACTGTCACTGAAGGATACGTCTATGCTGCCTTTAAAATTCGATCAGATAAAGGCATCTCAAGAGACAGGAAGTGAAGATAACATTGGATTTGGACGTGCCTTGATGCTTTCTTAACTTGGAATGCATCCCTTTTAAGGCAGCATTTTTTTAGCTTTCAGATGCAACCAAAAACTAAATCATTTCAAAATCATTACTTTTTAAAATGCCATGTAAACACTTTAGTTCGCTGTTTTTTGTGAATTTGGACTAACAGACCAAGATGATGAAATTGTAGCTTGTATACAATTGTATAATTGGGA